GGAGACCCCTTTCCCAGCTGGCATCCTCCAGATGTTGCCCACCAGCCCCAGCCAATACCACCAATAGTCAGAAATCCTGGAAATTGTAGTCCAAAATAATTATTTATTTTGTAAATAATTATTACAAAATTATGTGGCATTTTTACATAGCACAATTAAAAATCTTGGAGAAATACTGTTTGGGAAATCCACTAGAGTCTGAATATGAGCCACTGCAGTCACTGAAATCTAATCCTTAAGAGAGTTTGTGGTGGTTAATGTTAGCCTGGGGACATGAAGCTCACTGGTTACTTTGGGTCATTCCCTTACTCTCAGCCTAACCTAATTTGACAGGGTTGTTGTGAGGATAAAATGGAGCTATGAAAACCACATTGGATTCCTCACAAGAGGAAAAAAGTGGGATATCATTGGAATGTAATAATAATAATAATAATAATAATAATAATAGAAAAGCATCTTGCATCTTGAGCCAATGAAATACTTGGGGTAGAATCCAATGGGGAGTTTAAGCCCTCCAGTTTTTTAGTATTTTGCCAGTTCTCTTCCACAAGTGGATTTCACTAAAATAAGAGATTTTTAACAGTTCTTAGAGCCATGGATGAAATGGAAACACTTGATTTTGGAAGGAAGCAAGTCAGCACAGCTCCCTCATGCAGTCATAGCAGCAGTGCAAAATCCCCATGGCATAAACAGTGGTCTGCTTACATGACACTTTAGGTGCATTGGAAGAGGATTGGCTGAAGCAGAATCACCCCTTTGGATACTGCCTTTGAATTTTCCTGCGACTTTAAAAGCAGTCCTCAGCAATGGCTAAGGATTATGCTGTCATGAGCCCGGGTTTCCTCGTTTGCATGTTCAAAAGATGCAGCCCCTTTCCCTTGCAAAGTGTTCTTTATTGACAAAAAAGCACAAAACACCCAGAAGGAATATCTAAGCATGTATAGAATGGTTTGTTGAACTAAATCTAGTATTCACCTCTAGGAACTCTCCTTCTGAGAATGCCTGGGCCCCATCCCTTCAGGAGGGGTCTCCTGAAATTAAGAAGCCTCATCTCCATGCACCAATCTTCTAATTGGGCTGTTCTCCTTTGCTGGTGATGCATCCTGGAATCAAGAGCCATGCCCGTCTTACCCAAGTCTGAGAAACTCCTGCTCCAAGTTCCCTTCCACCAACTGGTTATTCCTAAAGCCTGCCTGGCTGCCTGGGGAGGCTAGCTTTGAGAGAAGAGCCTCCATTTCTCTCTTCTTGGAGCCCACATTCCCAGCCCCGCCGCTCCAGTTCTGCTTCATATTCTGATTCCGATTCCTCTAAAGTTCTTGAGCATGAGTGCCCAAAAACAGACATCTTTCTCACTTCCAACATATCCAGTGATTTGGTTGTGTGTGAGGTTTTTTGTTTGTCCTATATTTTAACTTTTATGTTAAGAAAGAGGAAAATCCTTGAGCTCATCCAGTGACCCACAATACTTTAACTTACTTTTTTCTGGAAAACTGCCATGGGTTTTCAAAATCTTGATTAGTCCAGAATATCACCAGTTACTGCTGCCCTTTAGAGAGCAGAATGTAGGCGAAGTGAGGAAATCTGCTGTGAAGCTGTTGGAAAAGAACAGTGTGTCTTTTCCAAAATACCAATAGAAATGCTGTTTCCTATGGGAAAGAGTCTCTTTTCATTAAACCCTCTCTGTTCTTCCTCCAGGTTACTCTTCAGGAAATCATACTGCATGTTAAGAATTAAAAAAAAAAGATCTAAAACCAACAGATTTTGTATAGATACAAAATCACAAATTTCTTTCTGGTGGTTGGTGTTAGCTTTAGCCTCTTTATAACTGTCACTTGCTGATAAAGTATATATGTATGTATATACATATTTCTATAATGCAATATAGCTGAAACTTTCCGAGTGGTTTAAATTAATGCATAAAAACAATACAATATAATAAAAATCTAAAATTAAAGCAATGTGAAAATGCATTTAGAGAGTCAGTGTGGTGCAGTGGTTAAGAGCATGAGACTGGGACTCAGACTATCTGGGTTCTAGTCCCTGCTCAGCCATGGAGCCAACTGGGTGACTTTGGGCCAGTCACAGACTCTCAGCCCAACCTACCTCACAGGGTTGTTGTTGTGGGGATAAGGTGGAGGAGGAGAATGATATAAGCTGCCTTGAGCCCTTTGTAGGAAAAAGGCAGGATATAAATTGAAAAATAAATAAATAAATTTAAAATAGCTAAAACATACAGTAAAAATGACCATGTAAAAGGAAAGATGAAAATCACCTGGACCTGGTAATCCGCCTCAAGATCCTGGGTAACTAAATAAATCTTTAAAGGCTTCAGCATAAAGGGCCATCTTAACATGGCACTGAAAAGATGACAGGTGGGCCATGGTGGGGAGGTTTTTCCATAGATAGGGGCCACCACAGAGAAAGCCCTCCCCCTTGTTGCAGCCCTCCTGAGTATAACTCAGTGATAGATTTGTTTCTGGACCTCAGCTGCTTCGACACAAAGGATTGCCAACCCTCCCCACCCCCAGTAGGGCTTCCTTGCCTTTAACACTGATGTGCCAAGGTGAAACCTCTCCCAGCACATAGACACAGCTGTTGGATGTGACATGCCCTTTAGCAGCTGCTGCGGATCACAGAGCTCTTACAACACCGTAGGAGTCTTGTCAGGCAATTCTGTAGGAGATTCCACAGCAGGAGATATAGAACAAAGATGATGGTAACTTTCAGTCATCTAACTGCTCCAGCATATGCATTGAATGTGATTTATTTTGGGCGTTGCCCTTGCCCTTTGCATTTGTCTGTGTTTTGCTTCTGTCAGCTGTGAGGGTTCAGCATGAACACAGAACAAGCTGTGACAAAGAGAGTGCTGATGGGGGAGAGAAATGTCCGCAGGAGCAAGGGAATGCCCTGACACAGTCTTGTTTACATGCACGTCTGTCTGGGGTATGCTAGGTGGATTCCTCTATTCTGAAGCTGAAATCATTTTCTTTTTGCATACTTGACAGAACTGGTTGTCAGAACTCTTGTCATTCTCACTTCCCTACCCCATCTATCCACAGGCCTCTGTTTTCTTATCTCAGTAAGGGCTGCATCTGTTTAAGGTCTCTGTAATGGAGTGTAAATACATGTTTGTGTTTTCTTTTTCTGTCTTTAAGCCCACCATTTGTCTGAGCTTTATTTATGTATTATGTATGTATAGGCTGTTGCATTAGCTCACACTTGGATTCTCTGAGTGACTTAAAAATAATTAGAACCATATAACATTTTAGAAATCTAAAACATTGGAGCATTAACAAAACATCCAAAAGTATAACAAAGTATAATTCAATAAATTAAACCATTACATAAAACCATTTAAATAAACCATTTAAAATTAAAATAAAACTATAAACCAGAATAAAATCCAAATTGCCACTAAAATCAACTATTAAAATAGCCAGAGAAAAGGTATACCTTTGCCTGGTACTGAAATTATAACAATGATGGCACCAGGCACACCTCTCTCGGGAGCCAATTCTAGAGATGGGGAACAGCCACAGAGAAGACCCTTCAGAGCCATTTAGAGTTTTATAGGTAAGTACAAGCATTTTGAATTGGGCCCAGATTTCCACTGGTAATCATAACTACATATTCCACTGGTGTAATACATGCCTGTGGATTGGTTCTTATTAACAGTTGCATGGCCCTATTTTGAACCAGTTGGACTTTCTGGACCATCTTCAAAGGCAGCCTCATGTAGAGAAAACAGGTTCTTTCTGTTCATTGCAGATTCTAATAGTGATCTTTTCTGTTTAAATTACAACTTGTACAGCAGGCGAGACTAATGTTCCCAGTTTTTTTTTTTTTAATGACTAGAATCCTTGAGCTACAAATGCCAGAGTCTTTGGAGTGATTTAAAGGTTCAGAAGAAACAGTCAGCCTCTAACATTTTATCATTATTATTTATCATTTGTTCCTAGAAAATTCTTAGCTCCTAAATTAATTCATTCACTAAATTTCTAATCGCCCAATAACCAGCGTAGTTGGTATCACAGACTGAGAAAACACTATGTAATATCCTATATCCACTAAACATAAGGGCATGCTTTCCTGCTATGTGAATGAGTCATAATGCACTCTACTAACCATTTGCCTCTAATGGTTTATTTTCTCTCTCTCTAACTTTGCAGGTTTATAGCCAAGCCATGTGCCTTAGGCCTAAAAGTTCAGGCCAATGGACCACAAAAAGCTCAGCCGAATGCTATTCTCGAAAAGGTCTTCACTGCAATTACAAAGGTACTATATTGACCTACAATCTTATTCATTTACTTGGGAAAAATAAAGCAGTATCCTCCAATATGGAATACGATTCCAATTCGTGGGTGCCTTCAGAAAAGTGTCTTCTGGGTGTGCTTTCCATGCCCCCTGCCCACAAACCAGGCTTGCTTTTGCAGCATTATTGGAAGCTGCTATTTGCATTTTGATTTTTCAGAGTCATGTGGAAATGATGCTACATTGGTTCCATTGTATGAAGGGGAAGCGGGTCTCCATGAAGGGGAAGTGAGTGGGGAAGAAACAGATACTCTAAAGATAAAGGCACTCAACACAGATGGGTGGTGATCCTTTCAGCTGCCTGAGAATGCTATGTGCTGACAGGCCTGGACCAGAATTATTAAGTTTGATTTGCTGACAGCCTAAAAAAGCAGTTCATGTTGAGACAGTAAAAGAACCAGATTTTTAAGACCTATAATCATGCTTATGAAAGACGTGCTCTGAGGCAGCTGTAAAACTGAAGTAACCTGTGCATAACATTTCAGAGAAGGAACTGAACTGGTTCCAAAGTGTTTCCAGAAAAAAAATACTCCTTTTGCCCTAGGCGTCATCCTTATGCAAAAGCATTTCCATCCCTAATTCCAGGTACTGTTGCTGGAGTGCAAACAGAAGACCACATAATAGCATTTTCAACTCCATGTATAGAGCATAGACTGCCCACCATGTTCAGATTTCCAGGACTGTTACCATAAAATCTGGGGAATAAGCCATATGTATGGCGTCAGTTTTGCCAGCCATGGCACCTTGTGATCAAGAAAGCGGCATGTGTTATTTTCCATAGGTGAGTGCATGCAGGAAAGTAATGTTCAGAAATTGAAACTGAGGCAGCAGAACCATTTGTGAATGCATGTCATAAAAGTTGTAGAGTGTTCTAAATGTAAGCTTTTTGCATGCTTTGCAGCATCATTTCATAAAGGTTACAGCAGCAAATATTACTGGATGTCAGAAGAGCAGGCTTGGCCCTACCATGAGATACATTAAGGTCGTCTGTCACACATGGAGCACTGTCAGGCTATTGAGCAGCATATAAATTTGCAAATATAAATAAATATGGATTGAAAGGAGCAGTAGCTTGGTGCAACCCATCGCTGTTTCACTTGCCACCACCTGGCATTTTCTTCATTCAGCTCCCCCTGTTCCACAGCTGTCACTCTCTTTGTTGGCATGCAGTTGCCATCATGTGGCTTCTCTGCCTGTCCACCTGCTGCCCCCTACCGGCCATTGGCAGGCTTCACCTTCGGTTGTTGTGCATCTCAGCTTGCAGCAAGTGTGTAACGCTAGAGACAGCCCTGTTCCAGTCTGCTGGCTCAGCTGGACTTCAGCTAGCTGCCTTTTGTCATTCTGCTCCACTTCTCCTGAAGCCGTCTACTCTATGAAAGGGAAAAGAAAGTAGTTGGGCAAGCTGCAGGCCTCCCGGGCAGCAATTCCCCCATTTTTACATCAGAGACATGCATAAAACTAGTATCAGCAGTTGATGGTGCTCTCTGTGTGCTTGGCATCCATTCACCTCTCCATTCCCCCTTCTCATCTCCCTTCTCAGATAGAGAAGTTGCTTCATTGTGAAGGTAAACAGAGTGATATTTGGGCGCAAGCTGTTGCCCAATCCCATCTCTTAGCCTGCTTATATTCCCTCCCAGCACATAGCTCCTTGGGGTGCAATCCTAGAGGAGTCTATTTGGAAGTAAGTTTGGTTACTTACAGTGGTATTTACCCACAGATAAGTATGTTTAGAACTGCAGCATTAAAATAGTTAGCAAAGAAACACCCTAGGGTTGCACTGTTACCCTCCTTTCTCTTACATAGTGCCATTAGATAATACACCATAGTAAGAAGTCAGCTCTGCCACCAACAGCCCCTCCAGAGTGCCCAAATGGCACATTAATGGAGCTGTCAGTGGCCTGATGCTCCCCTCTTTCTAAATGAATGAATGAATTGCACTCCAAATGTGTGCAAATATTTTTATTGGTTTTTTTTAATGTCTAGGGGCTTGGTAATGTGGAAAAGAGCAGCCCACTCCCTTTTATTACAGCACAGAAGTTTGACAGCTAGTTGTCAAAACTCTAATTATTTTTCAAGAAGTTTTTGTTTTACAAGCCTACCCATGTCCTACCCATGCACAAGGACATATGCGGACAGAAAAACAAGAGGTAGCGGACCAGTGACACCTCCTCCATTGTGCTGCTTGGGTGCTTCGGAGAGGCTGTTAGTGGCGGAGTTTGCTTCTTACTGGGACACTTTGGAGGGACTCTCAGTGACTGGCAAAACAGATTGTGAAAATCAGTCTTGGGAGGAAGCAGAGGAAAACCATGGGAGCACTGAGCATGGTGGGAAGGGAGGCTTCAGCTACAAATTCTACTGGAATGCGGGCTGGCGGAACAAGGGGAAAGCAGTGCGAAAATCAGAGAATCAGCCCAATTGTCAGTTGAGCTCACCAAGGTTTCAAGAAGAAATCTACTGTGGCTTACTGCCAGGATGCATTGGTGTGACAAGTAAATATGGATTGTTTTATATCTACGTAAATGCCTTTCCATGACCTTTGTACATCTGAATTCTCTGATCACCATAAAGTGCATGTATGGAACATGGATTGTGTGTGGAACTCTTTGTTAAAATGTAAATGAATCAATGGTATTTAGAGGTTTGGAAAAGAAAATAACTCTGTGCCCAGACTTTCTACAGCAAGTGTCAAATGGAAATTACTGGCTGTGCTTCCAAATGCAGCTCAGAAATAATAACAACAATTAATTATTACAAATATTTAAATGCCATTCTTTGAAGTGTGAAACTTATTAGAGAAAGCAAATGTCAATATACAGCAATGATTCTTGACAGGCTAGTGAATGCTAGCCAGGTAACTGGAAAAACTCATGCATGCAGAGACCAGGCATGGTCTGCACGCACATAAAGCAACCACCATGTTGAAGCTAAGCAGGTCTGAGCTTGGAGGGGAGACCAGCTGGGAACTGCATGTAGCTGGCCTGGGAGAAAGGTGGGATATAAATATAATTAATTAATAAATGCAGAACTGTAGGAATGGGAAGGCTGCTGCTAGCCTCCCACTTTGGATAGTTATCTTAAATTCACAGTGCAATAAGACTTTCAGTAGGTGCAGCATGCTACAAAATACATTGTTGTTAAGAACAATGGATTGTGTCTTACTTAGGGTAGACCCACAGAAGTGAATGGAGGTTGTTACCCCACAATCCCTTGTCACTTCACTTTGCAGGGGTACATCTTACTTTGGAAGGAGTCATAGTACTTTGCAAATGTTTGGTGAAATAGTGAGAAATGTTTTGATTGCTGTTTGTAAATGGAGATACCAGACTCAGGATGGCAAAAACTGCATAATTATTTTGCCCTATTCCCTAGCTAAAGCACAGGTGTCCATGCAGCCATCGCCATCTTGGCTACAAGAGAGAAAGATTACAAGACTGGTACTGCTGTGGTCCGCTTGGGACAAGCTGACCAAGCTGCACACACGTGTGTGTCCTCACGTGTTACATTCTTTGAAACCCACTTTTTCCCTCTTCACAAGGGAAGGGGTTCTTTGTGCATGTTCTTTCTTGCTTTGTGATTCCATTTAAAGTCTGTAATTGCTCATCCTTTTCTGTGTGCAGGTTAGCCTTGGATGTAGCAAGCTCTATTCCCCATGTAAATAATTTCATTCTGAATCACTACTTAACTTAAGTGTTTATTTTAACACTACGTAAGCCAGGTACCTGTGGTGGCCTGCCAAACCTGGAGCTGAAGCAAAAGTACCTTTTGAACTTGGCCTTAGAAAAGGAGGCTGTTAGTTACAAAGGTGGCACCAGCGTATTTCTGGGTGCAGTTTGTATTGCTGAGATAGTTTTTTCATGTGTGGGGGCATGTTCCAAAAGGTATCTCTTCCATATAAGATCATACAAAGCTACTCTATATTGAATCCAGTCATTACTCCAGCTAGCCCAGCATTGTTAACAGCGAATGGCAGTTGCTGTCCAAAGTTTTTCCAGGAGTTTTTCCAGCCGTACCTGGAGATTGGACCTGGGACCTTCTGCATGCTGCAACACAGGTGGTCTGTTACATGGAGCATCCACCCAACCTCAGTATTCCCAAGGTGGTGCAGCTGTTGCCACATTTTCCCAGAAAGGGGCAATTACATCATCATACTGATAGGAAGGTTGAACCCAATGCTGTGATGTCCCCATGCAAATTATAACACAATAGCTAAACTAAATAAGCATTTGAGAAGCCAAGGGAACAGGAGACGTTTCTGGAATCCCAGGGAGCCTAGACACAAGGGAGACTTTCTGTGAACTCTCAGCTTAAAATAGCTCATCTTTCAAAGAGCCTCAAGGGCTGCAAAAGCACAAAGGCAGGAAGGGCCCAAGGGCTGAGATGGTAGAACAGTGAAGGAACCTGAGACCATAAAGGGGCCTGCTGCTACCCAAGCCCTGGGAAGGCAAACAAATGGGTCTCTCAACCATTGAATGATATTATAAAAACAGGAGTGCATCTATGGACTTAGCTTTACCACAAGGGAAAACTAACAAAGCTAATATTAATCTAACAGAGAATTTCAGGAAAAATGAGGCCTTTGAATATCATACCAGATATCTCAATCTGAGATTTTGATGGGATTTGGACATTTGTGGAAAGTGAGATACGATTGGAGTTTTGACAACTTGGCTAGCAAACTTTCTCCCCAAAATAAACATAGAAAGAAAGACTGTAGCACAGGTTAATAGAGCGCTCCAAGCTAAACCTGTAGTGGGAGTGTACCTGAGGGATATTGCTGCGTGCTTCACTAATAAAGCAGTAAAAGAAGCCTTAGTGGTAAGACCCAGTTTGGGTATGCTATTTCTGTATCAACGTTATCCCATCAAAGTGTTTCAAGACTTGAGCCCTGATTCTCTTCATAGATGAATGCTGTTTAAATACTTCAATTTTAAGCGTATAGATGGGAACACCCAGTTAAAGTCATC